AGACCTACTCTCTGCAACGCGTGAAAACAGGAAGTGTGGTAGTGTTTATTTATCACATGGTGTCGGATGGCGCCAAGTGTTTTCCATCAGGGTAAAGGTTATTAAACATTATTAAACGAGTGTGTCTCAAATCAAGGAACGTTTATACAGAATCACCGGATGTTTGTATTGAAATACATGCTGATGTCATGTTGGTACACACCGCCGGTCACCTCCGGGTCACCTCCGGCACCGAGGCTTGGAAGCGCCCAAGCCCTTGGATCCGGACAAGTCCAAGGTCTACGACGATGCTTCGGCCGTGAAGACCGCCAGACATCACCAGACTGTTCCAATCATATGGCCCATGCCACACAATCTACTTAGTCGGCCATACGAAATAGGTCTTGCTGGTTCAATTTTGAATGTATGTAATTCATCTAGTTTTGTCATATCATTTGGGATTGATTCTGTGGATCTATATTTAAGGATGAATTCAGGCCTCAGCTCCTTTCCAGGTGCGCCCATCCCCCTGTCGCCACCGGCCAAGGATGTTTGGGGCTCCTCCGAGCGCGCGCCCTCCTACACGGCGCTGCGGCGGCAGGCGGCGAACTGCGACTGGGTGGTGCGGTCTTTGGAAACCCTACCCGGTGGCTCCGTGGTCATCCGAAGACACTCAGCTTGAGAAGTCAGAGATGATGATTTGAGTATATATGAGAAGTCAGAGATGATCTGAGTAGTGATTTGAGTGTATGTCATTAATTGATATTTAATGTCAGATTCGGAGTAGCAATTCGAAAGTGAAAGTTACCCTCTTAGGTGACCCGTGAGATCATGTGATATACCAGTACCCCATCAGAAACTTGCTAAACTGATCTAAACAGACTCTTGGGAGGTTTGTCAGGCATGTGATATCACCCTTATATGATGTATATAATTACTGTAGTCACCGTATGTTGTTGAAGAGCGCATCCGTCATCTCGGCTGCGCGGCATCCTTCTGAGGAGACGATTTGAAGAGGGTTCCACCTCGCGTTGGGCCTGCCTGGCTGCGATGCCGCCGGGCTGCGAAGACCATACCTGTCCGTTGACAGGTATAGTCACAGTCTGGTGGTTTGAGAGTAGATGGCACAAGTTACCCCAAGTTTGGAGGTTTATATAGACCCCCCTATCATCCCCCCCAATTGTCTATATAAGACATCTTGAAGAGTTGTAGGGGACATGCGACAGTGACACATGCGTAAACAAATTGGGGATCACTTTTGCAGCTAGGAGAAGTAGTGCAAAGCTATACATGTGTTTGTCCAACAGCCGCTGCTGAGCAGGCCAACTTCATGTCTTCGACGAGCACCAGGGCAAGAAGGAGCTGCAACTCATGCTCCAGCGCTATATGGGTGCTCGCATGACCTTGCCGTGTACAGGCTCGAGCTATTGTACGTCTTAGGCCGAAGGACAACACGCCTGGTTCCTGCAGGGGGGCTTCGTGCTTCCTGCCTGGTAATGGGACCCAACAATTACGTAGATTATGTTTTGCCACAAGCAGCTGCAACAGCAGCAGCAAGCATACCATTTGCTGATCAGCCTTGAGAACCTTTACTTACTGAGTTCATCGTATTGGCCTGATCAGCTTCCACAGACAGTAGACCCCTTCATTCACACACTCTCCCAGCATGTTTGACAGCTTTTTTCCCGACCCAGCTGTGGTGGCTGTTGCTGTCCGCCTAGCGCCTATAGCTGTCCAGCTGCCCTTGCCCCAGCCGTGGTGGCTGCAGTCACCGTGATCTGCGTCAGGCCTCAAGCGGCCCTTTGGCGTCCTGGTCTTCGCGTGTCGCTCCTGGTGCGCGCGCTACTTCGAGGAGAGCCCCGGTGAGGAGGTGGGCCTCGCCGAGGCCGGTGGGGTGGAGGGGGTTTCAGAGATACTTTGGATGCGACAATAATCTCCCTTATATAGTCGAAAAAATCTCCTATATTATATATATAATAGAGAGAGAGAGAGAGAGAAACAGTCATGAAGATGGGGAGTCGTCAGTTCTTCGGACTTTCTCACTTCAGATGTTGTTTTCCTGCATCTCCAGTCGCCACCTCCCGACCGACCGTCCCGACCGACGCCGGGGAGACCCCGAGCCGGGTCGAGGTCTCGGCGGCCTTTGATCCGCCGGTGCCCTCGGTGACGGTGAACGTCTGTGGGGAGGTGGCGCAGCCGGGGATCGCGCTGGGCGGGGTGGACACCAAGCGCACCACTGCGACTTGGTGGACATTGGAATGGTGGGTCCGTTCGGAGGGTGAGCAGGTTGGTTGGTCAGTTGGTTGGTTGGTTGGATTTGGGGATGGTTGGGTTATGTTGGGTTATGTTGAGTTGGTTGGGAGTTGGGAGGATCAGTGGTTGGTGTGGTGATGTTGCTTGGTATTCTTGGTTGCTGGTTTTGGTGGGAGGTATCAACTTGTCATTCAGGCGTTTCGCTGTCAAGGAGGGAGGAAGCTGTATGATAATAAGGTAGACTCAGACGTCAGCCACAATATACACTCGGCCTTTGTACATGGAGTACGGTCCTGGAAATACATCAAGTAAACGGTTTAAACGATGTAAACTCTTGAAACAACACAATCTGTCGGCTGGAGGCTATATAGGGAGAGTGTGATTCCAGAGTGCCCAGATGCCCAAGGTCCAAGGACATACTGCCACCTGCTGCTTCTTGAGCTACGAGCCGCAAGGTGAGAGCACAGCGCACCCTGCCTGAAGCCAACACACATGGATTTCTTTGAGGTACCAACGAGTAGACCTAAGAATTGATGTTCACGTGCTCATCACATCCAATGCATATATGCAATTTGCAATTGGATTATCAGATGGGTTGCTTGGTTTAACCGTGGGACCGTGGGAAGAGCAACTGACAAGTTGTCTCTTCTGCCTAAATGGGATTGGACTGCTTGATGTTGAAGCAGGGTGAAGTTCAAAAGAGCCAATGAGTGAAAAAGAGGGGTCAGCCAGAGGAGGTTGACCCACTTCAACCTCGCATTGCGGATGATGTTGTGACAGGTCGTTTGCTCCTTTTAAAAGATGTGGGCTGCCTATCTACCCTCCTGATCCAGGATTCTGCGAACCAGCCGCCCCTAACATCTCCCCACAACTCCACGTGGCACAAAGTTGGGCAAATGTTGAGATACTGGATGAACGCATGACTCCTGGAATTTTCCTCCTTGCCGAACGGCAGCAGTTTTCCCGCGAAAGAAGGACGGCGATACCTGGCTGACAGCGGCCATGCACGAAGACACAGACAGGTTAAAGAAGACCTCGAAGAGAAAAGCTGCTGGGATGTGCTGCCTCAGTAGGAAGCTGCCATTTGCCGAAGGCAAGTGGCCCTCCCTGCCCACCCCCCTGCCAGGACAGAAACTGGACTTTACAAGCAACTCCTATGTCAGTAGCATCCCACCAGTCCCAACCTGGTTCTGAACCAACAGACAATTCTCAAATACAGTTAATTGCAGCCAGCCATGAGAGCCCTCGTTTTCAAGAAGGGGTTGCAATTCTTCAACCTCCAACGCCAGAGGAAAACGCCAAGCTCGCATCCTCCAGGGTAGATCCATCATGTTGTTCTTATTGAGGTGCTTTAATCCTTGTGGCTGTGATCACTCAAGTCACCTTGAAAAGTAGACATCTCAATGCAGCTGATTCTTTTCATATATTTGTGTGTCCCATTGCCAGCCCCCGCCGGCTGATGATGATGACTCTTCTTGCCAAAGTACCACATACCCCCTCCAAAACCAGACTCGAATGACTCAATCCCCGTCCCTTTCTGTTTTTCTGGTGGTTCCCGGGACTTCAGTGGCTCCCCCCCCCCGAGAAAAAAGCATGTGATTCTCTCAAGAAATGGTTTTAAGGATTAGTTCGCCAGCAGTTTGGTTTGGGAGGCTTCTCTCTACACTCTTCAGTCGACTGACCCCTCGTGATCTCCGCACTGACAGGTGGTCCATTGCCGACATGAGGCCGTCAAAGGGATGGCTATAGACACGGGACCCAAAGCAGGTGGCAAGCGTGCCAGTAGGGATTGGCTGTAAGCAGTCACTTGGAATGATGTAGTTGTTTACTGGGTGGACGTTTGGTGGATTTTTTATTTTTCTGCCTTTCTGCAATCTTTTAACCATCAATCGCTCGCCCTTTCATTCGCCGATTTTGCCAGCCGGAGGCGGAGGGGCCAACCAACCAGATTTCTCTTCCAAGCACAGGAAACGACCAGCATCATGCGTTTCTCATTCAAGGTTCCACTGAAGCTCTTGGCAGGTGACTGGTCAAAGCACTGCTTCAATGTATCTCTGGTGACCTTCTTGCCATGATCGATGTGAATGAGGCCTTTTCGCGTAGCCGCCGCTTTCGCCCACACTTCCTGCAATCAAGCAACTGAGATGAAACAAGCTCAAGGCACATGACAAATGTGGCTACAATTTGGGAAAGCTGAACGAATGACTCCACGTGGCATCAATTACATTGACCCGTGAGCCCGTGCCTCGCGTTCTTGTGTCAGGGCGGATTTGGCAAGGTCGGCGTTCTCACATCTGGAATCACTATTGACACGTGCCAATTGTCTCCATGACATCTTCGGGGCACAATCTTGATGCGTCAAAGTGGTACGTGTCTGCTCCGTCAGGGCAGCAAGCGCATCTCTCAGCTCACTGAGGCACGGATTGTCATTGCTTTCCAACGCTGCAACAAGATCTTCACTTCACATGTCACCAGGTCACGAATGTGACATGCCATCTGAGCATCCGCCATTGAATACCCCCCAGACCAGCAAGGGCTCGAAGCGCTTGTAATCTGCGCTTGCGCACAGGCCTCTCTTCAAACTCTCAATGGTGGTGCGGCTGATCTCGTCAAACGCCACGTGCTGTGTGTTGTTGGCCTTCACGGCACGCCGCTTATTAATTTTTAGAATCACAAAGCGGTGTATTTAATGTATGATGCCTCTTGTCAGTTGGTAAAAATTGTGACCACACCCACACGTGTCAGTTAGCACAATTGTAGTCAAGTACACAGCAGAATGAACCCCTATGACAGTCCGCAAAAAAATGCAAAGCCAATCCTGAATCAGCTTGGGTTGCTTCAGAATCTCTTGGCGCCGCAAGACCGGGTTCAGCAGTGTCTCCATCACGAGTTTCAAGTTAGCTGTCGCATCTGCCATCAATGCAATCACATTGCGAGCGTGCTGCATGACAGCAATTAACCTGAGACCCATAGCTGCCCAGCATTGCTTGCCAACTTGCCATTTGCAGAAGACTTCTCCTTTCCTGTCAAGAATTGCGTGGTCACAGTGTCACATGTCACTGTCTCAGCCTCAAGTGAAGAGAACTGAGCAGCATCTCCAATGCATCAGTGACACCTGGCTCGGGACCCAAGAAGCGGAGCTTGTCAATGAACTTTGCCACAGACACTATCAACCGAGAAAGCAGCGCGGGTCCATCTGTCAAAAGGCACCTGCCATATTTCGACTCCAGGAACGACTGCAAGGCTCGGCACCGCGTGACAGATTCTTTGACATCGAGTCACATGAAACCAGCATGTTCCTCGTCACCGGTCTAAAGCACGCCATCTTGCCGCAATTTCTCGAGGCATTTGGCATGTGTCACGTTCACGCTGTCACATGACACAATGTCAGCCACGACAATCTTCAACTTGTCGGCGAAGGTGATCAGTTGTCACATGACACCTCAAGAGCACGTGTGCGCTTTGCTGACGCCACAGCCACCTTCATCACATTAGCATCTGACAGCCAGAGCGTGACCCGAATGGTGACTGTCAACATGGCCTCAAACAATGCCCCAATCCGTTCATTGTCACTTGCCACAATCGCCTTGTGCATTGCCAGCCACCATGCGGCATGTATCAAATGTCCGCACAGCAGCTTCAAACTGGCCGGATGCTCACCAGTGCTGGGAGACACGACGTCAGTTGGGGCACTTGACAGCTGTCTCAAGTGTCACAGGGAAAAGAATCCGTGCATGATGATGCGGGCTTGGATCAAAGGAGCCTTGGCCTGTGTCAACTGGTTCCAGCTGCCAAGGTGGATCGGCCACGTGGCACTGGCATCAGTTTCACGCGGCGCATCGCCTTCAGCAGTAAGTGGCAAGTTGTCAACCGGGCTGCAAGACATCCAGAAACCACTCCCACCTGCTTCATACAATGCACTTGTGCGAAGGCTTTGGACGGCATTGTCCTTTTGCCACATCTCCTTGTATGAGCACACCTTTCTGCTCTTGCTGCCATTTGTCGCGGTGCCTTTTTTTTCTCAGTGGCACTTGACTGTTCTGGCAACGCCAACCGTGGCACCGAGTCCAAATCCTTCACCTCATTCTGAATCAGCTTCAACTTCTTGAGTACGGGCATCAACTTCTCTTTCACCTCGGTTCGGGAGACGCAAATGGATCACAACTGTAACCAAAGATCCATGAGAGTTTTGGCGCTGTCACATGGCCAAATGTCCGGCTGTGGGCCACCGCTGGCCAAGTACATACACGGACTCCACGCCACCACAAAGCAAAAACTCACTGACATGCTATACAGCTTGATTGCGCAAAAAACAGCGACAGGTAAAACGAGTTCCCAAAAGGCAGCTACCCTTTCTCATTTGCAACGGCCATGTGTAATAACAAGACATGTCGCATCTGGAATCAGGACCTTCATGACATCCAGCCGCAGAGACCACATCAGGGTTGTTTTGAGCGTGTTCCGGAAGCGATGTCAAAGTCTGATTCTTTGGAGCCATGGCTGATGGTGGCCCGGTCTGATGGCGGCTCGGCCAACTGTCAGGGGGCAAGTGGCACTGCAGCAGACAATGACAACATAAGTCATACGAGGTAATGTTCCAACTTTTTCTTCATAGATTACCTAGGCGTTTTCCGGAAAACGCCTAGGTAATCTTATGTGCGCATTCCAATGGATTACATGCTCTTTACTTAGCTAAGTAAAGCCAATGTAAATCATGATGCGTGAATGATGAGATTACCTAGGCGTTTTCCGGAAAACGCCTAGGTAATCTCATCTCTCCAAGTCCAAGCAAATCAACCTGTCATGCACTTTTCAAATCCCCTGCATTTGAGCATGGTGCACCAGCATGTGACAAGCGGCACGCCAGCTTGGATGACCACCAGAACTTATCACGTGTGAAATTACGGTGGACACGTGAAGTCAATGTCCTCAACAACTGCCGCAGGTCCGGAACGTCAGGGTGCCAGGCAAGACGGTCCTTCCTGAAGGCCAACGCGTAAAGGCGTGTCCTGCTGGCTGGAAGACCAAACAATTGTGGATCAATGCACGCGTGCGTGACCTGCCATACTGTGACATTCTCCCACAGCAGAATGTCGCTGTTGTCACCATTTTTGTGAAGCTTGAAGTATCGCCGATGTGTCTTGACCACAGGATCAGGGGCCTTGCCGCCGCTTGCCCATCATGGAATATGAGACACATGGACCTCCTGGCTGAAACAAGGTTCAAATCAAATCTATCGTGCATGTGGCAAAGACTGACAACCGCCTGTCTTTCAATTCAGTCAGTCCTTCCTGCCACGTTGACACGCATACCTCAGCAGGCAGTCCCGTTACGTTGTGTGCTTGACATGAACCAACTCTCAATGTGCTTGCAAGCTGCGAGTAGTTGACTTCACTGGGCAAACCTTGTCATGCGTCATGCAGTGGCAGCTCCCCTTCTCCGGAAAGAATCCCATGATATATGGAGCAACGCACATGCCATATGTATTCTTGAGTACCTCAATCATCCAAAAACTGATCACAGTAATTACTCAGCTCAGACCCAATGATGCATGAACAGCCTGGGTGAGGTGTGCCCTGCCTTCTGACAACTGGCATTGCATTCCACAGCCCAGTCGAAGATCACTGGATGGCTGGATGAAGACGACGCATATGGCTTAGCAGCATTGGACAAACTCAAAGCTGCCTTGGTGCAAACTGTCCATCTTTCCCTCTCAGAATCGGGGACAAATGGCACACACACATGCGCAAGAAATTGAAACATTTGTTAAAAGGCTAATGACCGACTCTGCACAGCCCACGCCCAAGAAAGCAGTGCCCATCCACCACGACCATGACCGTAAACGTCTGGTGTGGAAGTCCTTGCC